AGACAAAAAGGAGGCACATGTGATCCTCCCAATGACAGGTTGTTCCAGCTCAGGGCTGCACATCTGCTGCAGACGGGCACTGGTCAGGTGTGCTAGGGTGAGGTGGAGACGGAGGGCGGTGAGACATAAGGTCGGACTAGACGGTCTGGAATCCACACAGGTGAGTCTGCGTCCTGTGGAAATATACAAGCATATCCTCTCTCCCAGGTTAAAAGTACATCAGGTCCCTTCCAGGCTCCTGTAAGCAAGTCTCTCCATTTGACGAAGGTTTTAGGTTTAGTTAGATCAGGGTTACAATGTCTGTACATCGGGGAATTTCCCTCAGAATCTACATTTAGTATATTAATTACAAATAGAGTATGTTGTAGAACATGATGAGGAGAGGACTATTTAAACTCATTTTCTTGTAATTTTTTAATTTGTGTTTTTAAAGTTTGGTGAGCCCTTTCTACTATTGCTTGGCCCTGAGGATTGTAGGGCATTCCTGTAGTATGTAATAAAACCCCTTAACTAAGTGCCTGGCAGGTAATTAATCACTTTAACTACGAACAATCACGCTTAAGCTACATAATCTTTACTCCCTGGAATAGAGATAAGAAACGCCCTAACCTTTGGAATAGAAATTGATAGGATTAAAATCAACTGGTATAAATACAGATGTAACAAGACAATAACACACAGAACCTGGCTGGAGAACCTAGACAGAACTTGGCTAGGCTCCTGATCAACTGAACGCTGTCTCCGTGTCATTCCTTCTTTGCCAACTCCATCCACACCTTTGGGAACCCCTTGACCTGCTGGGGCTGGACCCCAACACTCTACCCATCTCTTCTGCCCAACTTTCTCTCCCACATGTGCCCTTTTCTCTTTACTCCTTTCCTTTGCCTCAGTCTTGCACTCAATACCAGAGGCAGTGGCAGATACCTCTAAAGCATTTCCTCAAATCCCTTTAGAACTCCAAAATAGGTTCATGGATCATCTTGATGTCCAAAAAGAACTCAATATTTGTTCCCTGTTCTCATGGCTAGCTGTATGGGAGTTCAGAAGTCATACTCCCTGTTACAGGTGCATGAAATTTCCTTATCGATATTGGATTATTGTCCTTTCAGGAGTTCTGCTATTTCAAGCCCTCAGCCATCCTTCAGTGGAAGATGCAGGAGGAATGATAATGGTCCCAGTCAATAATTCTTATTAAAACTGAGTATAGTGTAAGTATAATTTTTCAAGTCTTAACTAAGGACACTAGAAGGAATGAGCGATCAAAGGCAATTAAGAGTGATTCACAATAATTAAAACATCTTCCCTGCTTGTTACTCTACCTATACTTCTTTTGTGATGTTAGGGTTACTGTGTTGAATCCATATTTGGTTAATGTGTTGCAGATGTTGGGGAAATATTGCAACCTATAAATAGAGTGAGGGTTTTCTCTGAAGGGATCACTATTTCCTGGGGCCATTTATCCAACTGGCCAGAACTTAGAGTATATAACAGGAAACATATGTCCCATTTGAAGCCATGCTCTTTGTAGGAATAAATTTGAAAGAAGGTTTCAGGGAGGTGAGTATCTGGGTGTGGGCTCCTGGGTAACAGATGCAAAGATGGCCTCTGTCATAAATATGGCAATCATTATTTTCTTATCCACAGTGCTTTTATTCAAGATAATGTTATGTCCATAGCCCTGGAACATGCCACTGTGGCCCACCTGCCCCTAGCACAGCTCATAAGACAAGTTGTGGATTCCCAATTCTAGATGGGTCAATTAGAATTTGGCTTTTGAGAAGTTGGACTTGTGACAATGAGAGCTGGTTCAGTTTGATGACTATGGGTATTTGAACTAAAGGGTCATGTACAGTCAAGGCTGGAGTTGACTTCAGGGAAGCTCCATGTTCCAGCCAATTTCCAAGGAGAAGCAGGAGAATGGCAGGGCAATTCAGCCAAAAAGAGACTGTAGATCATACAGCAACCTTGGTTAGTTAGGGGAAGTAATGTCAGCTGCTCTAATAGATAAAATCCAGTGTTTCAATAGATGCCTTGCAGTGGTTTAACCAGTAGAAGTTTATTTCTAGCTACATAAGGCCCAGTTGGGTGCTCTGGTTGGTCAGTGGCCTTCCACTTAATCATTCAGGGACCTATGGTCGTCCTTCTTAAAACTCCAATCTCTTCTAGTGGCTCTTAATGTATAGTTTTGATTCCAATTACTATGTTAGAGTATAAAATGCTCTGTAACAGATAAATCCTCAAACCTCAGTGGCTCAACTAAATAGTAATTTACTTCTTGCTCACATAAAGACAATATGGGATTTCTGGTTGGAGAACACTACTACTTACTCTAATATTAATATAAATTATTCTAATGTTAACATTGTCTAAATATTGGAACTATTGTAAATACTAATATTAGTACTAAAGAATAGAGGGGAACCCACCCGTTCAACCCTTCCTAATTGAGATAATACAACTATGATTAGATGTCATCATTGCCCATCTTTTCTCCATCAGAAGTTTTAAAAAAGGACCAGAATGCTTTACACCTTTGGAGCAGGGGAGAACCAGTACAGGGAAGCTCCACGTTCCAGCCAAAATTATAGGGAGTGGAGAGAGCTGATCTCCAAAGGGAAGCAGGAGGGTGGCAGAGCAATGCAGCCACAAGAAACTTGAAGCTGAGATATGTTGTGGGTTTTTTGTTTGTAAGAAGCACTGTGTTCACCTGTTATTTAGAGTGTGGGGAGCGCTATATATGATTAAACATAGAAAAAATGAAGAACTTCTACCAGCAGAAGTCTAAAACTAGTGTGGTTATTTTTGTTTTGGTTAGAGAATAAATAAGTATTAAACATTCTTTTTACGTGTCTGTGTTTTTTGGCATTTTTAAACTTTTTCCTATAATTTATTTAAAAGAACTGAAATTAGATTTATTTAAAAAAAGGGGCGGGGAGAGTCATCTCTGATTTTAGCAAGTGTTTAGCATAGGTACGAACTGTTCCCCTTACATTGTCTTTAATAAATCATCACTTTCAAGCAAGTAGAAGAATAGTAATTGCAAGATTGCATTGTTTACTTACAAGTATTCAGGTGGAGTGATTTCTCTTTCAGAATTCTCTTTGATTAAATGCCTACATTGCACATATCTTCCTTTTAAAAAACAAGAAATCATTCAGCATTATTTTTATGTAACAAATACTTATGTCAGGGATACAGTAGTTTATCCTGAAAACAAGTTGTAAATACTGTGAATGAACAGTTTCCAAGTGAGAAATTTGTCAAGCTGAGATTTTGCTTTTGGGGAAAAGATGCAGAGAAGTGAAGAATAAAGACTTAAGGTGAGATTTCTTAAGAAATGACATTCATCCTTACTTCCATAAGTTTGAAAGATGGGACATTTTCTGACTCAAAGGCTGATGTTTGGGATTAAACTTATCATTCAGAATGGCTGCTATTTCCTCTCCCTAGCACGAAACATTGATTATAAGGTACAACACATTAAAGAGTGGCATGCTTCTTTTTTTTTTTTTTAAAGAACAGTTTATTGATTTTTAGAGAGAGGAAGGGAAAGGGGAGAGAGAGAGAGAGAGAGAGAGAGAGAGGTGAAATCACAACATTGATTGGCACACCCCCTACAGGGGATTGAGCCCACAACCCAGGCATGTGACCTTGACCCGGAATCAAACTGAAGCCTCCTGTGATACCCAACCAACTGAGCCACACCATGGGCCAGGGCAAAGAAAGAGAGATGGTAGCTATAGCTTGAATTTTGTTTAAGAAATCCACAGAACACACGAGTCAAAGGGCAAAATAAGCTTTCTTTATTTTCATAGTAAAAGTGAATTTGTTTGAAATCATCCTTTCAAGGAAAAATGGGCAGAAAGTAAAGCTTTCTTGAAGCTGAGATATGTTGTGGGTTTTCTGTTTGTTTGGTTTTGCAATGAATGTGTTATCATATAATTAGTTTATTAATATGAATAATAGAAAATGAGCAATGGGGAGGCCACACATTATAAGCATGGTCATCTGGGCAGCTTCACCAGGAAGTTATAGCTGCATGCTCCCTTGAGGACCACCCACCCATTCCTTGCAGATCACTGGAGGAAGGGATTGAGCAAAGGGAGAGATGGGTGCATGGGCAGTAAAGTCCTGGTCTCGGAGCGGCTGGAGCTCTTGGTCCTGTACAAGGAGTATGCTGAGGACGACAATATCTACCAACAGAAGATCAAGGACCTCCACAAAAAGTATTCGTACATCTGCAAGACCAAGCCCGACGGGAGCTGCTTCTACTGAGCCTTCGGCTTCTCCCACCTGGAGGCGCTGCTGGATGGCAGCAAGGAGTTGCAGAGGTTCAAGGCTGTGTCTGCCAAGAGCAAAGAAGACCTGGTGTCCCAGGGCTTCACCGAGTTCACAATTGAGGATTTCCACAACACGTTCATGGACCTGATCGAGCAGGTGGAGAAGCAGACCTCAGTAGCCGACCTGCTGGCTTCCTTCCACGACCAGAGCACCTCGGACTACCTGGTGGTCTACCTGCGGCTGCTCACCTCTGGCTACCTGCAGCGGGAGAGCAAGTTCTTCGAGAACTTCATTGAGGGTGGGCGGACTGTCGAGGAGTTCTGCCAGCAGGAGGTGGAGCCCATGTGCAAGGAGAGCGATCACATCCACAACATCGCGCTGGCCCAGGCCCTCAACATCTCCATCCAGGTGGAGTACATCGACCGCGGCACCACCAACCCGCACATCTTCCCCGAGGGCTCTGAGCCCAAGGTCTACATTCTCTACCGGCCTGGACACTACGACATCCTCTACAAATAGGGCTGGCTCTGCCCGCCGCTGCCCTGCTGCCCTCCCCTCTGCCAGGCACTAGACATGTACAGAGGTTTTTGTGTGGTTGTAAATGGTCATATTTCACTCCCCCTTCCCTGTCATACAACCTTCCACGTTTTATTAAAGGGGATGCTGGTGGTGGGAAAAAAAAAAAAGCACCTGTAGGGAAGGTGCTTGCCTGTCTGTCTAACCTGGGAAAATATCACTGGCTAGGGAGGTGGGCCCCAATGCAAGCTCACAAAATCTTTGAAGGGTAAAATCCCCAAACAAAGAGTTCCCTCTCTCTTGTGCCCCTTGTTCCCTTCCCTCTCACTCTCTTTCTCCATGACCCACACTTGCCCACCACGTACTTTCCTGCCATGTGGCCTTAAGCAGCAGCATGGCCCATGGCCATGCGGACCCCACATGCAATGGACTGCAGCTGGGAACACAAGGTAAGCTAGCAGAATTCTGGACTAGACTGGACTTTAATATGGAGGAGAAATTCTGGGCAGTGGCCTTAATTCTAGCCCTGCTGACGAGGAGATTGGACTTCTTCCGTGGAGAGACAGACAGAGATGGGACCTTGGAGGGGAACCCCCTTAATTTTACATCATCAATAAAACTTTCCACAATAGCCCAACCTCCCTTGAGGGGGGGCCTCAGGAAATTCTTTTCCCGATGGCACCTCAAGAACTCCACTTCCAACAATAAACAGTTGAGTTGGCTTTGCTGCGGCATCTTTCTACTATTTAGTGAAGTGAGAGAAAGCCTCAAACTCAAATGCTAAGCAGTACACTGACCTGTTTCCATTGCTACCTAGTCAGTGGGCTATTAATGTCCAGAACAAGCAGGGGTTGCACTGAAAGAGGAGAGCCATCCCTTGCTGTTTAAGCGATAATTCCTGTTGGTAGCAATTTTCACAAAGAGAGAAAACACTGCTGGAAGGAAAAAAAAAAGTTCTTTTCCATTGTCTATTCCTATATAAAGTCAAAAATAATCTGTTGAAAGGCAGTGGGGGGAAGAAAATCTACCAGATAACTGGTGCTTTGTCTGTACTAGGTCAAATGATTTTTTAAAAACTAATTAACTGCAATGAATGGTTGTTTGTGCATTGGGTGGAAACAAAGATTTGAAGATTCACCTACACAAACAGACTCTGCTAACTTGAAGATGGTGATAGAAGATATTATTTATTGAGTGTTTATGGTGAGCACATTGTGTAATCTCCAAAAACCTAATGAAGTAGGTGCTATCATTGTCTTTGTTGTACAGTGAGGACATGCCCAGCATCACACATACAGCAGAGCTAGAATATGAACCCAGGTTGGTGAGCTTCAAAGACATATGTAAAACATGCCAGAGAAGAGCTCATTCGTATGAAAATTTAACTTGCAAATGCCTACAAATCTATGTGAGTTGATAGTAAAAACCCAATCATGATAGGCCAAAAATGACAAATAACCTATTTTTCTTGAAGAGTCATCTTTCGAAAAAACTTTCACCATCACTATTTTATACCACTTACTCATACCATTTTGAAGATTGCACAAGACAATTTTTATGTTTGAAAGTCCCTAAAATTGGAAGTAATACCCATCCATTTATGTAATTTTTTTACAGCATGTGTAACATACTTTCGGATGATGGTGTTGATGCGTTTGGGCATGGTATATGAAAAGAAAATAAGTTTAGAATGAGAGTAAGACATAATGTGTCTTAAATTTGGGCATGCCAACCCATTACTTAAGTGTTCTATATCTGTATACTTGGAGTAATATGTAACATAGATACTTGGGTTATCTGACAAAGAAGAAAAATGAGATAATGTACAAGAAGTATTTAGAATGCCAAATTCAAAGTTACTATGTTGTTATATTTCACATATATAACATATAAAATTGCATTGTATCTTTATTTAAATTTTTTTTTAAATCTTTATGTTGAAAGTATTATAAATGTCCCTTTCCCCACCATTAACCTCTCTTAACCTTCCCTTACCCCCTGCCCAGGCCGTCACCACCCTATTGTCTGTGTCCATGTGCATTATATATTTAGATATATTATATCTCATATTAGAGGCCCGATGCACAAAATTTGTGCATGGGTAGGGTCCCTAGGCCTGGCTGGCAATCAGGGCCTATCTGTCGAGCGACCAGCAAGGTGATCGGAGGGGGGGGGGCCCGCTGGTACCCACCTTGGCCAGCCTGGTGCCTCTCGCTCCGGTGGGGTGATAGAGGCCCGATGCACAAAATTTGTGCATGGGTAGGGTCCCTAGGCCTGGCTGGCAATCAGGGCCGATCTGTCGAGCGACCAGCAAGGTGGTGGGGGGGGCCCGCTGGTACCCACCTTGGCCAGCCTGGTGCCTCTCGCTCCGGTGGGGTGATCTGGGGCCAGCGCCGGCTCGCTTGCTGGCCAGCCCCCACCCCCAATCACCCTACCACCGCCACTGCCGGTGACCTCCCTCTGCGGGGTGACCAGTGGGGCAATTGGGGGCCCCCCCACTGGCACCCACGTTGGCTGACCTGGGGCCTGTGGGCTGGGGGAAGCTCCTGCGTTAAGCATCTGCCCCCTAGTGGTCAATGCGCGTCATAGCAATCGGTAGCTCCACCGGTCATTCTGCTATTCATTTGATTTGCATATTAGGCTTTTATTATATAGGATATTTTCCAAACCCTGGTGGCTCCACTTCCAGGACATATTTATGGTCCTTCCATTTATACCATCTCCACTGCTACTGTGGTTCAAGCCACTGTCTTCTCTTGCCTGGGTTATTACAAAAGGCTCTTAACAGTTTTCTTTGCTTCCACCTTACCCACCTGTGATCTACTGGATCCTATTAAAATGTAAGTCAAATAGTGACACTCACATGCTTAAAACTCTCCAGTAAAAGTCTTTACTCAGAGTAAAAGTCCTTATGATGGCCTTCGACATCACCATTGATCTGCCCTGTTTCTCCCATCAACCCTCAGATCTCATCTATAATTCTCTCCCTTATTAACTCTGTTCCAGCTACACAGACTTCCCTGGTGTTCCTTAAACATCCCAGGGACAATTCTGCCTCAAGGACTTTGGGCTTGCTGTTCCCTCGGCCAAAAATGCTGTTCTCTTCCAAATCCTCACTTCCTTCAAGTCTTTTGTAAATTCAACATACCTGAGGGACCTTCCCTAAGGCCTGGGATTAGTCCTAACCCCCGCACTCCCCATTCTTCACATACTACTTTATTTTCCCTTCATTCGTAACACTCCTTATCACCTGACAAATTCTTGTTTGTTTATTGTCTGTCTCTCTGACCTAGAATGTAAGCTCCAGAACATTAAAAAAAATTAAAAATGAATGAATGAATGAATGAATGAATGACTTAGTCCTCATTCGGGATTGATAATAGCATAGGAAAGAATCTACCCTTGAAAAATTGGTTTGAAAGCAGATTTTCATAACACAAATTCTGTTTGCCCATCACTTATACACTTTAACACAATTTAGCAAAAGGGGTTTTAAGTTTCCAACAGTTTCCATTTTGAGCTGGTGATAATCAAAGTTATAAGAGAACAGAAGAAACATTAACAGTTTGATGTAAATCTATGTAAGTTCCATGAAAGCGGAGACTTTTTCCTGTCTTATTCACCATTGCTTTCTTAGCTCTTTCTTTTTTTTCCCTTTTTCTTTAATTTATTTTTAATAACAGCTTTATTGAGATATAATTCACATACTATAAAAACCACCCTTTTAAAATATACAATTCAGTGTTTTTTTTTTTATTATTTTTAGAGTTGTAACAATCTAACAATTACCACTATCTAATTTTAGGATCTTTTCTTTTTTTCTTTCTTTTTAAAAAGACATGCTCAGCCCTAGCTGGTTTGGCTCATTGGATAGAACCTGGGCCTGCGGATTGAAAGGTCTACGGTTGGATTCTACCTCAGTTGCAGGCCTGCCCAGCCCCGACCCTGGTCAGGGCACATGCAGGAGGCAACCAATCTATGTGTTTCTCTCACATGGATATTTCTCTGCCTTTCCCTCTTTCTTCCACTCTCCAAAAATCAATGGACAACATTGAAACTACCAACTATAAGACAAACAGCTATCATTCAGAACCATGGGAAAGCTGGCCCAGTGGAAGTTCTACAACTGGAAGGAAAGAAAGAAGCGCATTGAGACTGAGTAGGATATGCAGAGGCGCCAAGAACAGGATGCACGGTTTTTTCAATTGGAAGGGGTTACAAACTCTCAAGTCCACTGAGCTTGTTTGGGGCAGGATTCTAAAGTCCCAGACCCCTATGGGGAGAGGCGGGACGGCCTTGCAGCGGGTTGGAAAGCAAGGGTGGCTCTCTCGCGGAGCTGCTCGCCGGCCACTCGGGTACACGGAGTTGCGGAGAGGAGTTGCGGAGAGGTGAGGAGCTGCGGAGATGCCATTGCTGTTTGCTCCGCCCTGGTGACTCCCTGAGACCCCGCCCTACTCAATTTACATCCCTGCCCAAGCTGTTCCAGAGGCACAAAAGGAACCACCGGTGCTTTTACAGAGTAACCCAACAAACTGCAGATTTCAACTCCTCGCACCCATAAGGGACACACTCAAGAAGCAGACTCAGGTTTGGAGGAAGCTGGAGCCGGACCCGGCTGGGCCAGCAACATGGAACCGCTGTACCAGCAAATGCACAAGCAGGTCCGCCAGATCCAGTCTCATATGGGACGCTGGGAGACGGCAGACAAGCAGTCTGTGCACTTAGTAGAAAACGAAACCCAAGCAAGCATACCAGATATTCAGCCAGCTAGAAAGCCTGGAGATTTTGTCCAGCAAGGAGCCTCCCAACAAAAGACAGAATGCCAAACTTCGTGTTGACCAGTTAAAGTATGATGTCCAGCACCTGCAGACGGCTCTCAGAAACTTCCAGCAGGAGGGACAGCGAGAGGAGCTTCTGACTCGCACCTTCACCCCCAACGTGGGATGCGGCGCCCCCTGTGAGGCTGCGGTGCCCCCTGCGAGGCTCAGACGGTCCCTGTGAGGCTGAAACGGTCCCAGTGAGGCTGAGACGGCCCCTGCGAGGCTGTGACGGCCCCTAGGAAGCCAGCGGAACCGCTCGAGCCGCCCAGATGGCTTCGTCGACGGCCCACGAACCAGCATGCAGCCCCAAGCACAACTATCACCCGAAGGGCAAGA